TTTTTTTTTTTTTTTGGTTTTTCGAGACAGGGTTTCTCCGTGGCTTTGGAGCCTGTCCTGGAACTAGCTCTGTAGACCAGGCTGGTCTCGAACTCACAGAGATCCGCCTGCCTCTGCCTCCCGAGTGCTGGGATTAAAGGCGTGCGCCACCATCGCCCGGCAAGAATAAAATTTTTGAACAGGGTGAAAACCTTATATTCCAGTTGGGTCTGTTGAATAGCTTCGTCAAGAAACTACCCTTTGGAAGGTATCCTGACCGGAAGTCAGTGGTTTCTTTACAGCCTAAGGGCCTTGACCTAACAGGGGTTGCCTACAAACATTGGAAAACAGATATTTACATTGCGGTTCACAACAGTAGCAAAATGACAGGAAGTAGCAACGAAAATAATTTTATGGTGTGTTGGGGGGGGGGTCCCCACAACATGAGGTATTAAAGGGTCGTGGCAGGAGGAAAGTTGAGCACCACTGCTGAAAGCCATGTTTAGGCCATCACTCATAACAGTAATGTACTGCTGAAAGACTTTGGGGGCACCTTAGCACTACTGCACCCCCCTTCCTGGGAACCAGGACCCTGGTAACCACCCACGCATGCACTGGAGCTTTGAGTACTTTCCATCCCCACTGTAGTCTTTCTTCAATAGACCCGGACCCTGGAACTGGGGTGAGACGACCTGCAGGTGTTCCTCCTTGTAATCGCCACAGCATTGATCAAGTAGAGTTAGCTGACCATTGTATGAACTAGTCAAAATAGTTGACAAATGATTTCTGGACTCTCCCTTTGGATTCTGTACTACCCCCTCCCTGATTTGTGGTTTTTCCTTTAAAAGAGCTTGTAATAGACAAAGCAGGGGTCCTTCTCCTCTCGAGGCTGAGGAACCTCTGCCGTGGCAGAATAAAAATTCCTCTTGCTATTGCATCAACCGTGCTCAGAGTGTCTCTTGGGGCGACCTCCTCCTTGGTGGGACTTTAGGGCCCAACACTGCTACTAGAGCCTCCAAATGATCAATGTATGCTTACTAAGTTTGAAATAAAAAAGCATAATAAAATAAGAAATAATGAGAAACGTTTGTTTTTTTAAATCAAAAGCAGTCAGTCCAGCAATGACTTGTATTCCCCTAATTTCCCCATTCCCCCTTGCTTTGATTAGCCAATCGTGTCAGATTGTGAAGTTAAGTTCCCACCAATGGGTATAATGCAATGCAGCCAACATCTCCACCTACAAAAAAAAATTAGCCATGTTGGCCCAGGTGTGCATTCTAGCACTTCTTTTGCCACCCTCTCCTCCAAGAACTAACTTACCTAGCTACTTTATTTTTCCCTTTGAGTGTTTTTTTTTTTTTTTGTGCAAGGCGAGATTATTTATTGCCTGTTAATAACACCATGCATCCCTATTTGGCTTTTTTTTTTTTCTCGAGACAGGGTTTCTCTGTGTACCTTTGGAGCCTATCCTGGCACTAGCTCCTTTAGACCAGGCTGGTCTCGAACTCACAGAGATACGCCACCACTCTGAGATTAAAGGCGTGCGCCACCACTGTCTGGCGGAACCATGTAGATCAGAATGATCTGGAATTTAAAAATCAGCCTGTCTCTGCTTCCCTAGTGCTGGGATTAAAGGGGCGCACTAGCATGCACAAAAGCATTGATAAATTTTAAATTGTAGTATGATGAAAGCGCCATGGCCTGGTGTGTGATCTCACTAATCTTTGACAGTAAAAATAAGTATCCTCTGCTGACTTTTGACCCACGATCAATTTAATTTTATAATTTTTGTTTTTTTTTTTTTGAGGCAGGGTTTCTCTGTTTAATAGCCTTGGCTGTCCTGGAACTCGCTTTGTAGACCAGGCTGGCTTCGAACTCACAGAGATCCGCCTGCTTCTTCTTTACGAGTGCTGGGATTAAAGGCGTGCGCCACCACTGTCCGGCCGCGAGCAGTTTTAAACACTGAGGTGGTATTTGAACCATCGACCTAAGGTTCTTAAACCTGGGCTTTGGAAAGATGCCTAGCTACAGGTCACAACCACTGCGCATGTCTAGAAGCAGTTCCGGGAACCTGGCGCAAGGGTGGGGGTGGAGCTACGTTATTCCCAGGACCCCGCAGCCGCAGAAGGCGGCCTTTGGCCGGCGACCAATCAGAGCCCACCGGGGCAGCGCCTCAGCCAATGGCCTGCGCGAGGGCCTCGGGAGCGGGTTCCGAATGGTTCGAGGGGTCACAGGAAAGCGGGCGAACGTGGCCGGCGGCCAATCAGAGCCCAGCGGGGCAGCGCCTCAGCCAATGGCCTGCGCGAGGGCCTCGGGAGCGGGTTCCAAATGGTTCGAGGGGTCGCAGGCAAGCGGGCGAACGTGCCGGGTGGGATAGCGGCGTCCCGCTGGCCCGATAGTGCCATCCGCCAGCGCAGCGTGGTGGGAAGCACGCCCGGACGGGGTTTTGGGGTGAGCGGATGGTGGCCGTCTGCGGCCGAGACGCCACTTCCCCGTTTGCCTCGCTCCTCCGCCGTGGACAAGTGGAACGTCCCAAGATGGCCGCGCCCTACAGGGGCTCGAGCCGGGCGGCGGCTCCCGAGTTCCCCCCCACGCCCGACATCCATGTGGTTCAGCCCAGGCCGCCGCGATCCGCGGCTCAGATGGTCCCCTCCGGTCACACGCAGTGGTTTGGGCCGAGCTAGCGTCACAGGGCTTGGGAGTGGCTACTTCCCTGAGCACCAGGTCTTAGGGTGGGTGCGGTCCTGAGACTGCAAATATTTGGAAGGGAATACGTGTTGGAGCGACCTGGTTTTCACTTTTGAGACAGGGTCGCACACTCTATATTGTCCGAACTGGCTTCTAACATCCTGTGTTGGCCAGATTGATCTGAAACTCAAGGAGATCCTCCTGCTACCCTGCTGAGCACTGCGGTTATAAGACTGATCGACAGGGTCGGGAGGGGCTTCGGAAAATACTGAACGTTACACAGATATTTCATACAAGTAACATTCGTAAGCCCGGCATAGTGGCACACTCCTTTAATACCAGACTCGGGAGAGGGGCAAAGGCAGGCGGATATCTGAGTTTGAGGACATAGTGGTTTACAAACTGAGTTCTAGGACAGCTAGGGCTACGAAATGAGACCCTGTCTTGAGTCCTCGCCAAAAACAAACAAACAAACACAAACAACAACAACAAAACAAAAAAAAACAAATAACAAAAATAGTAACAATAGGGGCTGGAGAGATGGCTCAGCACTTAAGAGCACTGGCTGCTCTTCAAAGGACTGGGCTCTTCCCTAGCAGCCACAAGGTGGCTCACAACTCTGGAACTCCAGTTCCAGGAGAGCACTCCCCTGGTCTCTACAGGCACCAGGCACTCACGTGGGGCAGAGACAGAGAGGCAAGCAAAACACCTAGAGATTTAAGAGAAATAAAACCCACCAACAATTAGCTTCATATCTTTTTTCATAATTCATGTCCATTTCCTGCATTCAGTCCTTCCCCATTCCCTTATACTTAGTCTTTCTTGTTCTGTTCTTTGCTATACTGTGCCCCATGTAAACATTTGCTTACATATATACATATATTATTGGCTACATTCCAAATATAACAGGCATTTTTCTGAGAATAAAATACATTCTAAGTTCATCCATTTTCCTGCGAGTTTTTAACTTTTTTTTGTTAGCACTGAATAACATTCCATTGTTTTAAATATATTGTTGGGAGTCTGGAACCCCAAAAACCAAGAGACCACATCCGATGCAAAAGCAGTCTTTTTTTATTACAAGTTAAATGGGGTCCTCCGTTCCTATGTCCATCTGTCCGTTGGTCCACCCGCTGGTCCGATGGAGTAGGGGAGCAGTGGGGCAGGGGGATAGAGCAAAGGGGGGATGGTCTGGGAGTCTTCAAGTTGCATGGACAAGTCTCAGGATAGGCACACCTCCGGGCTGGGGGACCCTGTCCTGAGGTAATTGGTCAGCTGCAGCTAGGGAAAGGTTGCTATACCTGGAAGCCATGGGGGAGCGGTTACTGCATTCCACCATTATCAGTAAAGCACATCCAGAGCCCGCCAGCGCCAGCTCACTTCTGATTGCTTCCTTACCAAATGGAGGATACCTGGCAATTTCTTCCCAGTAATTAAGGCAAGGCCAGGGGCTCAGCACATCCTGCTCAGTCAGGGGCCTGTATCTTGCTGGGTCTTTTTCTACAGCCTGTCACAGTTGCCAACTGGGGTGGGGAGTGCTGGGTAAACCCTTCAATACGGCTGATGAAAATTTGGTGTGTGTGTTAATGGACAACTAGATCGATTTCATTCTTTCCTATAGTGATTAAAGCAGCGATAAACATGGGGGTGCCAATATCTCTATGGTAGGGTATGGGGTTCTTTGAGAAATCTTCAAACTGATTTCCACAATGACTTTATATTAGCTTGCACCACTATCAAAAGTTGATTAAGGGTACTTTCCACATCCTTTCCAACATTGGTTGTCAGATTTATGGACAGCCATTCTGACTGGGGTGAGGTGGTATCTCAAAGTAGGTTTAATTTGCATTTCCTTAATGGCTAAGGATAGTGAACACTTTAAAAAATGGTTATTGGTCGTTTTTGTTTGGTTTTCCCCATGCAGACCTCAAACTCAGGTATCCACCTGTCTCAGCCTACTGAGTGCTGGGATTAAAGGCATGCGCAGACACCATCACCACTACCACGCTCCAGCCCATTTTTTATTGAAACAGTTTCTCTATGTAACAGTCCTGGCTGTCCTGGAACTCACTTCGTAGACCATGCTGGCCTTGAACTCACAGAGATCTACCTGCCTGAGTGCTAGGATTAAAGGCGTGTGCCACCATGCCCAGCTCATTTGTACTTTTTGATGACTGGCAGTTTTGTTTCCTTGGTATTTAATTTCTGCAATTCTTTGTAAATTCTGGCTATCAGCCCATTGTCTGAGGTGTAGCTAGTAAAGATCTCTGCTCTTGGCTCTGCCTACTGTTCCCTTTGCTGTACACAAAGTGTTCAATTCCATACAGTTCCATTTGTTGATAGTTCGGGTTAGTTCAGGTGATATATTCAAAAAAGTTCTTTAGGGGGCTGGAGAGATGGCTCAGTGGTTAAGAGCATTGTCTGCTCTTCCAAAGGTCCTGAGTTCAATTCCCAGCAACCACATGGTGGCTCACAACCATCTGTAATGAGGTCTGATGCCCTCTTCTGGCCTACAGACATACACACAGACAAAATATTGTATACTAAATAAATAAATATTAAAAAAAAAGTTCTTTAGGTCAGGCATGATGATGCATGCCTTTAATCCCAGCACATGCTGGGGGTCTACAGTAAATTCCAGGACAGGTTCCAAAGCAACACAGAGAAACACTGTCTTGAAAAACCCAAAACAAAAAAAAAAGGGAAGAAAAAAAGAGATGAAGGAGGAGGATAAAGAAAGGAAAGAGAAAGAAAAAAACTACAGATCAATTTTTTGATGAACACAGATGCAAAAATTCTTAACAAAATGCTTACAAACTGAATTCAGGAATACACTGAGAAGATTACACATTATAACCAAATGGGCTTCATCCTAGAAAGGCAACATTGTTACAACATACATAAACCAATAAATGGAATACAAACAAACTCAAGGACAGAAATTACATTAATTATTTAAACTGATGTTTAAAACACATTGGACAAATTCGACAAGTTTTTGTGATAAAAGCTCTGGAGACTGTAGGAACAGATGGAAAACACCTCAAAATAATAAAAGTTATATACCAACATGTTATTATAGCCAACATTATATTAAATGGAGACATACTGAGCATTTCCTCTAAAATCAGGAATGAGATAAGGAAAGTTGCCCACTCTCCTCTACCTGTTTTCTACAGTGTCAAAGTCTTAGCTGTAGCAATTAGACAAGAGACATAAAAGGGTTAATAGGAAGGGGAAAAGCCACACTCTCTTTTCTGAGACCCACTATGTAGCCCTATGGAACTTGCTATGTAGACCAGGTGGCCTCACACTCATGGAGATCTGCCTGACTATGCCTACTGAGTGCTAGGATCAGAGCTGTGTGCCACCACACCCAGCCCATTTCCTGTTTTTAAGTTTTTGAAGAAAGAGTCTTTTGATGAAGCTCAGACTGTCCTAGAACTCATGGAAATCTTCCTATCTCAGCTCTCAAGTGCTAGATTACAGGTGTGGGCTACCAACCACACTTGGTGACTCACATCGTTTTTATGTTTGTTCATTTTGGCCAGAGAGTTCAGTTTGCCTTTGTTCAACAGAGTCAGCAATTTCTCTTTTCCTGGTGGTACTGGGGATGGAACCCAAGGCTTTACATATGTTAGGCACATACACCAACACTAAGCCCCATCCCTAGTTCCAATTATCTTATCATCCTGTTCTGGGGTATTTTGATTCTTTTCAATGTATGCCATAGGCATTTAGGTATTCTTATCTGTGGCCCAGATCTAAGTCAAATACCATTTATTGCATGAATGACTTAAGCTTCAAATATGATTTAGAAGCAATAGTGTCTAATACTCTGACTTCTCTTGTTGATTTTTATCTTACACCATTAAGCAGGAAAAAGGTTCAGGATTCTCAGCAATAACCTTTTAAAAAAATATAGTCACCTAGGGCAAGCAGAGAAACTGCATGAGTCAGAAATAGCTTTTAACCTGCAAGCTAATAATTTAGGACTAAAAGTGACTGGCTTCTTTGGAAATTAGAAGTAACCCATCCCATCTGTGGGCATAAGTCTCCATGTCTCTTCAGTGCATCATCACCTCAGTGGCATTCCTGGAGGTCTGCCCTGGATCAAGGATAATGGATGTCCCACTAGAGTTCTCAGACAAACTACCAGAAATAAAGTGTGAGGAGGAAAGGTCTATTTTGGTTCACAGTTTTGGAGGTTCTAAGTCATGGCCTAAGCAATCTCTAGCAGGCCGTTAGCTTTCAAAGGTCAAAAATAAGTGCTACTAGCATCATCTTGGGCAAGAATCCTTTAAGACATGGATATATGGGCTAGAGAGATGGCTCAGTGGTTAAGAGTGCTTGCTGCTCTTTCAAAGGACCCAAGTTTGGTTCCTTGCATGTAGCTTCAGTTCCCAGGGGACTTAACACTAATGGTCTCTGAAAGCATCTGTACTCATAATCGCACACTTTCACACAGGCACACACATAATATAACTAAAAATACAATAAACCTTAAAAAAGAAAGATATGGGTCTTTGAAAGCCATTCAAGATCCAAACTCAGGAAGCTGTTCTGAGATGTAGCACTGGAGATTCTATAGTGTTTGTGTGAGGACAGATCTCATCATTTCTATGCTCCAAGAGGGAACTCTGTATTGGATAGGTAATTTAACTTGTCCTGCACCCTGAGCAGGGAAATGAGGCTAAGAAATGAAGTAGCTCCACTTCAGTCATCTCAGTTCCCACCTGAATTCACAGCTCACCTACTGGTTTTGATGTCATCTTCCCACTTTTTAAAATGGGTTTTATTATATTCTAAATTTTGGTAAATAGTCTGGTCTATCAGCTCACACCCTTGTTCTTGCACCTCAATTGTCTCCTATCTTCTCCGTGGCATCCATTGCAGATTGCAACACAACTAGTGACAGCCTGGGGGATGACAGTGGTCCACACGTCAGTCTTCATCCGAGTTACTGGGACCCATGTACTGGCAGACAGCATCATAGTGGAACTCTACAACCTGCTTCTCTCTCCCAAGTTGCACCAAAGCTTGACTCTGCACGCTGTCCCGACTCAGAAGAAGTCCCACCTGAGGAGGAATGGGGAGAGTCAGCAAGGGCAGCCCAGATCCTCAGTGATCTCCACAGTCATTTCCAGGTGTGGAGACTCACCTTTCCAGCATGTGGTCCCAGCACCACCATCACACGGTGACCCTCTCCCTTGGGAATCAGGGTTTCCAGCATGTTTTCTGTCACGCCTGCAGATGAGGTAGAAAGAAGTGAGATCCACAGCAAGGGCCAGCCTGGCCAGATCCTAACAGAAAGGCCTTTGCTAATATTTATTAGAGCTACTCCCTACTCGCAGATAGGGTTTCTCTGTGTAGACTTGGCTATCTGGGAACTCAAGAGTTCCACCCGCCTCTGCCTGAGTGCTAGGATTAAAGGTGTGTGCTACCATCGCCTGGCTGACAGAGCTACTCTTATATCTTGTTGATATACGGAGTCCCACTCTACTCATTTCACAGGTAAGAAAACCAAGTAGTCCGCAGAAATAACCACTGTACAGGAGCATTTTCCTACAAAAACTATTTACTGGGAATGTTCTCAACCTGTCCTGCAGCGTGAGCCTACTATGTACTTCTTTCTGTAAAGGCAATAGTTTTGAAAGGGACAAATAGTTATTTTAATGCTAATCTGACAAGGAAAATACACAGGACTTAGGTAATTCCTCCCAAGAAGTATGTGCTCTGAAGAGGATGCTGGACCTTGCAAAGAAACTGACCAAGGGTTTCTCTTTGTAACAGTCCCAGCTGTCCTGGAACTCACTTTGTATAGAGCAGACAGGTCTCAAACACAAAGATCTGCCTGCTTCTGCCTTCCCAAATGCTGGGATTAAAGATGTGCACTACCACCGCCTGGCTGGCTCTCCTTTTCTTTTTAAAACAAGATCTTACCCAGGTTGGCCTTGAACTTGTAGGAATCCTGCCTCAGTCTCCTAAGTACTAGAATGGAGCCTGCCTTTCTTTCTTTCTTTCTTTCTTTCTTTCTTTCTTTCTTTCTCTTTCTTTCTTCTTAAAAATTTATTTTAGATTTATTTTACAGGCATGAGTATTTTACTTGCATGTATGTCTACGACACCATGTGTGTGTCTGTTGCTCGCTAATGTCAAAAGAGGGCATCATATCCTCTAAAACTGGAGTTACAGACAGTTGTGAGCTGTCATATGGATGCTTGGAATTGAACCCGGATCCTCTGGAAGAGCAGCCAGTGCTCTTAACCACTGAGCCACTTCTCTAGCCCCTGAACAAACCTTTTCTTTATCATCCTCTAGGATGGGAACATCCCAGGTATAGTGATTCAGATTTACCTTCTAGAACTCGGCCTTCATCTGTCCGACACACACAAGTATCTGGGCTCGGGACATCTTCAATTGTCATCTAGAGAGATGAATGAGGAGGAAGTAAGATGTTAGAAAGTTAAAGGGCCCAGTACCTGGGTGAGGAAGGGGACAGGCTGTGGGGTTCATACCTTGGTGTTGTAATACCGGCCACCCTTGTGCAGTTTGTCAATGAACCTCACACGTAAATCCCTGTGTAACCAGTGCTTGTTCTTAGTGGTTGTTTTCTCACTCTTTGCCACAGGTCCATCCTGTCTGTAGAGAAAGCCATCACCTGGCTTAGCTTTTTCTTCAGCCATGTTGAAGGCAACCTATCTTTAAAGGACATGCTGTAAAACCTACCCCACTGCTGCTCCCAGTTCCTTCTATGCCCTGCCTTGCCTTGGAAGTTCTCCCTGACTGCTTGAGCCTCCCCATACCTTGCCTTCTTCTGCAAGCCCAGAGACCCGGGCTCCTGCTCAGGCTCCTACCGGTCTGGAGGGTGTTTCCGCTTCCTCTCTGAATCCTTCTGCCTCCGCTTTGAGTCCTCCTGATTCTGGGGGGCCTTCAATGACAAGGCTGTTCCAGTTGTTCTGTTCTGCTGCTCTGTGGAAGTTTTGCTCACATGGCCTGTTCAAGAGGGTATAGGGACATCAAGGAGAAAGTTTCACTGGCATTTCTTCTCAAGGGCCAGTGTCCTCCTGCCAAAGGCCCCATTCCCTATCCATTTCCTTCGGGAAGCTCCTCTCAACCAGCCAGCCCACAGCAAAGTCAACTGCCTAGTGTTTTTTTTTTTGGTTTTTCGAGACAGGGTTTCTTTGTGGCTTTGGAGCCTGTCCTGGCACTAGCTCTGTAGACCAGGCTGGTCTCGAACTCACAGAGATCCGCCTGCCTCTGCCTCCCGAGTGCTGGGATTAAAGGCGTGCGCCACCATCGCCCGGCTCAACTGCCTAATGTTAATGACAGAGTGGAAGACCTGCAGGGACCTCCAAGCTGCCCCCCACAACCATTACTGTTCTATTTGCCTCTCCTTTGCGCACACCCTAAGCGTCCCGAGTCTCATATTTAGCAAAAGAGAGGATCATCACTCCTAAGACACAAGGACCTCCTGGTTTCCATGCCCATTTCTTGCTGCTTAGAGCAGATGAAGATGCAGTGTATTAGGTCAACCCTTTCTCAAACTAAACAAACTAGGCTGGGGATATGGCTCCATGGGAAGAGTCCACTCAGTACTGTAAAAGCTGTGGGTTCTATTCTTAGTGCTGCCAAACAAACAAAAATTAAATGAACTATTTTTGTCCCTTTTCATGCTTGGGCTCTGATTGGAAGTCCCACACTACTTTTCTTCCATCCATATCTGGAGAGAGCCTGCCTGTGCCCATGCTTCCCCGAGTTTCCAGCTGTAAGAGTCTCACCTGGCTGTGAGGTGTGGCTATCAAACTCCTGCTGGGAAACAGGCCGTAGGCAATACTCACTAACAGTCACAATGCGGTTGCCTACTGCCAGCCGAACCATGGCCCGCACATTGTCAGGATCAAGGCCTTCTACCTAAGGTGGGAGGTAGGGATAAGGCAGGGGTAAATCGACTACAGCTGCTAGGTCTAAAATGTCTAGCCCTTACCTCCAAATGGTCTGAGCTCTCTGTGTCTGTCTTACCTTGCTGTGACTTGTTCATCTGTTTGGTTTGTTTTTGGATAGAGGCTCTCACTATGTAGCCCTGGCTGACCCATAACTCAAATCCACCAGTGTCTGAGTGCTCAGATTAAAGGTTTATACCACTATGCTCAACTGGAGGCTGTGGCCTTAGATGCCTAGGACCAGGCATGGTTCCTTTCTACTAAACTATGATTCCTAAGAAGTGGGACTAGGCATATGTTCCTGTCTCCCTTAGCAAAATGTAAAACAAAGACTTCTTTGTGTGTATATGTGGTGTGTGCTTTTGTGGTGTGTGGAGGACAGACGTTCACATGAGATGTCTTCCTTGAATGCCCATCACTTTTTTTTAAAAGATTTATTTATTATGTATGCAACATTCTGCCTCCTTGTATGCCTGTACACCAGAGGATGGCGCCAGATCTCAGTACAGGTTGTGAGCCACCATGTGGTTGCTGGGAATTGAACTCAGGACCTCTGGAAGAGCAGCTAGTGCTCTCAACCTCTGAGCCATCTCACCAGCCCCCCATCACTTTTTTTTGAGACTATGTAACTAAGCCCTGGCTGGCCTTGAACTTACTATATTAGCAGGCTGGCTTCAAAGTTCTACAATCTGCTTGTCTTTGTCTTTTAAGTGCTGGTTAAAGGTATAAACCACCTTACTCCTTTGAAATTTCTAATTTATATGTGTGTGTATTTTGCCTGCATGTATATGTCTGTACACCATGTCATGTGTGTGCCTGGTGTCTGCTGAGCCCAGAAGAGGATGCAGGATCCTATGGAACTGGAATTATAGACAGTTGTGAGCTGCCTTGTGGGTGCTCGGAATTGAACCTGGGTCCTTTGGAAGAGGAGCCAGTGCTCTTAATGGCTGAGCCATCTCTCCAGTCTCACAATCTCTCTCTCTCTCTCTCTGAGACAGTGAACCTGCTTTGGGTTATAGAGGCACATGTGCCTGGCTTTTGTGTGGGTGCTGTGGATCCAAACTCATGTCCTCATGCTTGCATGTGAGTCAGTCACTTTACATACTGAGACATCTCCCCACCTCTCACTTTTTTTCAAGATAGGTTCCAGGCTAGACTAGTACTTAAGTTTCAAGGACATTGTGGGATACCTCATTCTCTCCCTTTTGGTTGAGAACTGAGGCTCAAAAAGGCCTAGCAAATTGTTCTGGAGTACCTACCGAAGCAGTGAACCAGGCAGGCCTGCAAGAGTAGGACTTACAGGGCTGAAGGAGATAGCTCAGCAGTTGGGACAAGTCTAACTCTTGCAGAGGACCTGAGCTCAGTCCCCAGAATCCATGCTGGGTAGCTCACAATCACTTGTTAATCCAGATCTAGGGGCAACCCAATGTTGAGCATGTGTCCTCACCTATCCAAACCCACATACATACACTTGTTTTTGTTGTTGTTTTGAGATAAGAGGTCACCATGTAATCTTGACTGGCCTGGAACTCACCAGTAGACCAGGCTGGCCTCATATTCATAGAGATCTGCCAGCCTCTGCCTCCTGGGTGTTGGGATTAAAGGCATATACTACTATGCCTGGCTACACATTAACATAATTTAAGAAACAGTGCCATGAAGAGTTTTAGATTGAGCAAGTTCCTTCCATTCTCACTTCCTGGCCATTTTGGTGACTGCTCTTGGTTGGGGGCTGCCCTGAACATAAGATAGAAAGATGGCGGCCACAAACACAGCAAGGTCTTGGAGTCAATCAACTCTAGCTTCTAATTTGTTATGAAAAGTGAAAAGCAGATGCTAGGATACAAGCACACTCTGAAGATGATCAAACGGGGCAAAGCAACGTCACTTATTCTCACCACCACCTGCCAGCTTTGAGGCAATCTGAAATAGAATACTATGCCAAAACTAGTGGCAGTAACACTGAATTGGACATAGCAAGTGGAAAGTACAACAGAGTATTCTGCTGGCTAGGTCATTCTGATATTATTAGAAGCATGCCAAAAGAGACTGGTGAAAAGTAAACCAGAAAAGCTCTTTTTAAATAAAACTACCAGAGCTCATTTTATTGCTATATGCGTGTGTGTAACCCTCCCACAGATCCCGCTCTACTCTTTCAAATTCCTGGCCTCATTTTTACTAATTGTTTATAAATCTCCATCCCTAAATATAACTTGCTCAGTCCATATAATGCTACCTGTGTTTTCAGGGCTGACTGTTTGGCATTTAACTTTCCTCGGTTGCCTGTAGTTCTTTGTGTGGGGTTGAGGTCTCATGGGTTTTTCTCCATCTAGTCTGGCATGCTTATTGATGCCATCCTTGTTCAGCTCGTGCTCGGTGAGATTTTATGGATGTAGCTTCTGATTGTTGCTAGGAGACAGCAATCTTATAGCAAAGTCCTCCTTGATCATTTGGTCTTACTTTCTGCCCCCATTTCTGCAATGTTTCATGAACTTTAGGTGCAGCAATGTTTTGTAGATGTAGCTATTGGGACTGGGCTCCACAACTCTGTATTTTGACTGGTTGTGGTTTATTTATTTTTGTAAAAGGGTCTTGTTATGCATCCTAGGTTGGCCTTGAACTCTTGGAAATTCTTCTGCCTCAGTCTCCTAAGTGCTAGTATAATAGGTATGTTCCACTATGGCCTGCTTCTTTCTCGTGGTTTTATTTTTTCCTGTTAGGTACTTCTTACTATTAACCCAGACCTCTATGCCTTTAAAATTTTTATTTTACTTTAGAAAGTTACTAGGCTGCTTTTGGACTTACTATGTAACCCAGGCAGGTCTTGAATTTGTCATCTCCCTGCCTCAGTTCCTGGAGTATTGGGATTACAAGCATGTAGGACACCTGGCTTGACTGGCAGCCTTTCTATCCACAATTCTTCCTCACTTGGGCCCTCAATGCAATCTTCCCTTCTACCTGAATGGCTTCAGGGATATGTTGGTTTCTTACCTTCCCATAGAGACCCCGGTAAGGGCCAGAAAGGACCACAACTGCTCCTCCAGGAATCAACCCTTGAGGTTGCCCTTCCTTATCCTTCTCTCGATCCCCATCTGGTCTTGGTGGGTGGTGAGAGCCAGTGGAGGCTAAGGCCTGGGCCTCCATCAGATTGGCACCTAGCCCTAAGCCTTTGGGCCTTAGAGAGTTGACTCGGGGCTTCACTACTCTGCAGAAAGAACACAGGCTTATGGGAGTACAAGTCTTCAACACTTTCCTGCCAGTGTCCAAACACACCCCAGAAATATTTAGTTTTAAATTTTTTATTTATTTGTGTATGTTTGTGTACCATGACACACATGTGAAAATCAGAGGACAACTTGTGGAAGTCTATTCTCTTTCTACCATGTGAGGCTGAGGTTGTCAGGTTTACGGGCAAGGGCCTTTACCTGCCCAGCCACCTTACCAATCCCACAGCTATATTTAGATTACCCTTTTTGATATCACATTAGAACTTTCTGAGCTATAAAAATGCCAACTTTTCTTTTTTGGTGTTAGGGGCTGAATCCAAGGCCTCAAAGTATGACAAGCATACTGAGGTGCACTCTTAGAACCCCAAAATAGCAATTGCATTTGGTTCAAGTGAATTAAATGGTTGGGCATACTAGCTATTACATCTTACCTACAAGTGCCAAGTTAGGTTTGTATAAACAAATATAGCATTATCTCTATAGAAGAAACCATATGATATGTATACAGAGCAAGGGGAACAGTTCAGAAACCGTTTCATACAGTCTTATTTGACTACCAAATGACTTAGGAATTCTTTGGGATTTACATCTGTGAAGGGATTCTGCTTTTCAGTCCTAGGGATGGAACTCAGGGCCTTTTACATGCCAGGCAAGCCTCTATCATGGAGCTATACACCAGCCCAACAAAGGGATTATAACTCTATGAAGTACGAGTAAACATGTTTAATTTCTGCTTTCTAGGGACTAAGGTCTGCCATGTGCACTTCATGAATATAACTTCATTTAGCTCTTGCAACAAACCTGTGAAGGCAGCACTATCGCCTGCATTTTTCAGATGAGCAAACTGATCCACAAAGAGGAAACTTTATGTAAGTGGGATCTTTCTTACTGTTTTAAAGGCAACCCTGAGGTCATTTGATTATTGATTTATTCTGTTGCAACAACAAACTTGAACCTAGGTTCTGTGGAAACCAGAGTTTGAAACAGTAGTGGGCAACTACTGAACTGATGAGGGCGATAATGATCTCCCTCACCACCTGGAAGGATCTAGATTAAACCTAACCACAGGATCTTGTTCATACCCACTGTCCACCCCTATCCCCCACCGAACTCACTGACTGAAAGTATTGCCGATGCCTTTGCCAGGTTTCCATCCCATGCCCCGCAACATGGCCAGCCCGTAGGCCTCCACAGGGACTGCCTCATAGTCGGCTTCCTCTGGCACCTATTGGTCAGGCAGGAAAAGGAAGTCAGGCTTTGTTTGTGATGGGCTGTTTGCAGTGTATTTTCTGCCATTTATGAGATGACTTCCTACACCTCTGGTCCTTGAACATCACGTGTGTGCCTGGTTTCAGTGCAGGTCAGAAGAGAACACTTGATGCCCTGGAACTGGAGGTATTGGTGTATGGGACTTCAACCCAGAATTTCTACAAGAGCAACAGGTGCTCTTAACTTCTGAGCCATTGCTCTAGTATCCCTTATCCCCCAGTTTTTTTTAATGGTTTGAGACAGGATCTCCTTGTGTATCTCTGGCTGTCCTGGAACTCTCTATGTTGACCAGACCAAGCTGCCCCCTAACTCACAGAGATCAACCTGTCTCTGTCTCCCGAGTGCTGGGATTAAAGATACATACCACCACACCCAGCTCTAAACAAATATTTAAAAGAATCTATTATAGAGGCTGGAGAAAGAGCTCAGTGGTTAAGAGCCATGCTGCACATACTTATATGTAGGAAAAATTTATGCACATGAACTAAAAATAAATATTAATTCCTTAAAACTTTTTAAAGGAACTATTTTGTGCAAAGTGCTATTTTAGGTGCTGAGGATAAGGAACTAATAAAATGGAAAACCTCTTTTGGGGCTTATGTTCTAGTTGTCAAGACATTATAATAAATCAATCACGAAAACATGATATATCAGGTGGTGATACAGTTTATAAAGAAAAACAAAGCAGTAATGTGCACAGTGGCACTGTCCAGTATCCTAACTATGTTTGAAACAAGGAGGGAATGTGGTTTAAAGCCAAGAATCTGATACCAGCCTGGTAACACGGTAAAACCCTATCTCAGAAATAAAAACAAAAAATTGGGTAAGGGAATAGAAAGAGAGAGGAGTGCCACTGACAGTTAATCAAAGACTAAATAGGAAAAGGTGTGAAGCTAGGCGAAGGGTGCTCTGCACTGAACAGACACAGCTGTAAAAAGTAAAGGTCTACAGGGCCTGGAGGCAAAGGCCCCAGGGGAGGAGGGAGCAGATCTCTGTGAGCTCAAGGCCAGCCAGAGCTCCACCCTGAGACCCTGTCCTCCCCCCCCCCAAAAAAAAAAAAAAAACAAGCGGGGTCTGGAGAAATGGCTCAGAGGCTAAGAGCACTGACTGCTGTTCCGGGGGACCCGGGTTCAATTCTCAGCACCCACATGACAGCTTACTGCTGTCTGTAACTCCTGTTCCAGGGGATTCAACATCCTCATACATACTTGCTGACAAAACGCCAATGTACATTAAACAAACAAACAAACAAAGGAGCTGGAGCGATAGCTCAGGGGTTAAGAGTACTGGCTGCTCTTCCAGAGGACCCAGGTCAGTTCCCAGCATCCATATGGCAGCTCACAGTTACCATGGATACAGAGTATCTAAAGAAGTGGGGACGCAGGGGCGGGGGACTACAATGGACACAAAGCCTGATAGAGTTGGAGATGTGAAAACCAGAAGTCCAGGGTCATGCTTGGCGACAGAATGAATTCAAGGCCATCTTGAACTGCATAGAACTGTCTCAAAAAGAAGAAACCCAAAGCATATCTGAAGACTGGTGATAATGGTTCAGGTGAAAGAAAGGGTGTATTACAAAAAAATTATCAATAAAAGCTAAAAGGCTGAGCTCAAAAATGTTATTGAATAATAAAGCTTTATCTTTTACAGCTACCCCATACACTGCAAGTTGTCTCAGATCAACACATAACACACCGATTGAACACCACAAGTGTGCTGTTAATGGGCTATTGGTGCCATTAAAAATACGCACACCATGGGACTGGAGAGATGGCTCGGCGGTTGAGAGCATTGCCTGCTCTTCCAAAGGTCCTGAGTTCAGTTCCCAGCAACCACATGGTGGCTCACAACCATCTGTAATGAGGTCTGGTGCCCTCTTCTGGTGCTATTTTAGGTGCTGAGGATAAGGAACTAATAAAATGGAAAACCTCTTTTGGGGCTTATGTTCTAGTTGTCAAGACATTATAATAAATCAATCACGAAAACACACACAGGCACACACACAGAAAGAATATTGCATACATAATAATAAATATTTTTTTTTAAAAAAGACTAAAAAATAAATAAATAAATAAAAATACGCACACCAGGCCAGGTGGTGGCACACATCTCTAATCCCAGAACTAGGGAGGCGGAGGCAGGTAGATCTCTGTAAATTCGAGGCCAACCTGGTCTACAGAGTGAGTTCCAGGACAGGCTCCAAAGCTACAGGAAAACCCTTGTCTCGAAAAACAAAACAACACAAACAAAAAAACCCAAAAATGCTCACACTTTCTTTCCTTGTCAGACCCTAACCTTCCAGGCGTCACTGCTGCCACTCCTCTGAGTGTCCTAGCCACCTCTGCCTGGACTATGATACTTCCTTCCTTCCTTACCTTCACTTATTAGTCATACTTGGTCATGGAAAACAGAGGGATCCTATTACAACCCTTGTCTGTTGAGGATTTTCCCACAGCTCTCAGTTCATTCACAGAAAAGACAACTCCTCCCTGTGGCTCAGAAGGCCCTTTTTCATCTGGCCCTCCTCCACCTTTATCTAGGGCCTGACCCTGACCCCTCATTCATTCCAATCCAGTCACACTAGCTTCCTTAGTGTTCTTTAAGTACTACAGGTTAAAAAAGAACAAAGAAGCTGGGAGGTGGTGGCACATACCTTTAATCCCAGCACTCGGGTGGCAGAGGCAGGCAGATCTCTGAGTTTGAGGCCAACCTGGTCTACAGAGCTAGTTCCAGGACAGGCTCCAAAGCTACAGAGAAACCCTGTCTCAAAAAACAACAACAAACAAAGCAACAAAAAAGAACAAAGAAAGAAAAAAAGGGAAACAAACAAATGTGGTTCTAAAGAGTGTGTAGTACTTGACGGAAGCACTTTTTAAAAACACTATCTGTTACACTGCTAGTAGGGTGGAAAGAAGAAAGGCTAATCAGCAAGGCTTTGGGACGGACAGACAGACGGACGGACGGACGGACGGATGGACACACACACCCTGCGATGTTTCAAGAGGCTAGGCAGACAGTGTAGAGGGAATGATGCAGGAAGGAGGCAAAGAGGCAGCTCACTGTCTCAGCCTGAGGTTCGCTGTCTGTTCCTTCCCCACTGGGACTGCATCCTTTCTGGATCATAGGGATGGTAAGTGTGAGATCAACACCTGCATTCTCCCTCTCCTCCAGGGACTTCTTGGATTCTAAGGAAGAATGGGAGGGATCAATGAGGCCATACTCTCTCCTTCCAACTTCCCCCTCTTCTATCTGCATTGGGGCAGAGCAAAGTGGGGAGGTTTCACTTACCCTCAATAAGCTCCTTCACAGCCAGGGACAGCACGCCATCTGACATCAACTCAGTACTAGTTTCTGAGGATGGCTTAGGGCTCTTGGACTGTGGTTGCCTGCGAGAGCCATTCTGGATCAATGGGATGACCAGTTCCTTGGGGGCTTCTGGAGGGTTCACACTGATGTGGGGAGAGAGAGAAAAGGTTGGGAAAGCAGAAATATCAACCCAGTCCTATGAACCACGTTCCACGGGTTACTTTTCACAGGTCCCCGCCCCCTACGCTCATTTCTTTTTTAACACTATCTCACTATGCAGCCCAGGATGGTCTTACAAACTCAGTCCACCTGTGCAGCCCCCTAGTGCTGGAATTACAAGCATGCATCATCTCTCCTTGTGTCCCCAGCTTTCGATGTGACTTGTGAAAATCATTCCTAGGTTCTCAACCACAACGACCTACAGATTCTCCCCAGTTCCAGGCTAGCAAACTGCTTTCCAGACAGCTGTCTTCCAGAAGTCCTTCCCTTTGGAATTCTAGATCAGTTTCTTTTTTTAAAAAAAAATGTTTTTTATAATTTATTTAACTTTAGTTTAAGTACATTGGTGTGACGGTGTTAGATCCTCTGGAACTGGAGTTACAGACAGTTGTTAGCTGTCATGTGGGTGCTGGGAATCGAACCTAGGTCCTCTGGAAGAGCAGTTAGTGCTCTTAACCACTGAGCCATCTCTCCAGCCCCAGAACAGTTTCTTAATTATGCTGATGATGGCCTCCCAAAACCTGATTTTGCCTTGTTCTCCAAATCGGAAAAGCTCCCAAATAGTTCAGACTATCATTCTCTCTTCTTTCCCTTTCTCAGAACGCACATGTCCTCAAGTCCCAACGACTTCTTGAGAATATATACCTCTGCCTCTGGGCATCGCCCATTTCACCCCCCTCTCTAACAAACCTCCTCCTCCTTGCTCTTAAATTATTAAATTTAATAATAATTAAACTAAATTTTATTTTTCTTTCTGCTTTTTTGTTTTTAAGATAGGCTCTCATATAGCCCAGGCCAGCGTTCAAATCTCGAGCCTCCTGCATCAGCCCCCCCCCCCACGTGTTGTCATTATAGGCGTTTGCTGCCACTTCTAGATGCTTCCATAAATTTCTTACGGCTGTGTTTGAGGCTTTCCAAGTCACTGTCACCAAGACAACTCATATTCTGGCCTTCCGCTTACGTCCACCGCACTGAAATGCAAAACGTGAAAGACTCAGTGTTTTACCTCTGCAGCTCCCTCCCTTCCACAGTCTTTAAGAAATCTTTCTCCTCTGAGGCCCGTCCTTCGCCGACTCCGGGGTCTGCCAGTCGCCTCCGGGCAGAGGTGCGAGTGAAACCGAAAGAAATCGGGGCCGCTGAAGGGACAGCCGGCTGTGCACTTTCTGGGTCCGCCATCTTGTCCCAATTCCCAGGCTAGCGCGCTGCTTGCTGGGAAGTTTAGTTTAAGCTCAGTACACTAGGGGCCCGCCAAGGTGCAAAAGAACGACCTATCCCACAATGCAATGCTTCTAGGCCGGCCTTGAAGCCGTGGGAAAAAACGATCCTGCATTTAAACGCTTAACGTCATAGGAACGCGCCGCGCCAAACCTTCTGGGAAATGTAGTTCTCAGTGTAGTTCTTGTTAGAGGATAGATTCGGTTCTTGTGAGGTTTTCAAATCTTTGTAAGGCAGTTTTAGGGCATCCGATACCCACTTTCAAACTCCGCAGGCACCATGCACACACGTGATTCACATACATAAATGCAGGCAAAATGCTTATATACACAAAATAAATAGATCTTGTTTGACAAATACATATGAGCATCCAAAATATGTACCTTACTGATGTAGGAAGTGTCATAAGGAGAAAACACAGGACTGTGCCAGGGATGTGGTTCAATTTGCAGTGATGGTAATTTAAGCCTTGGGCCTCGCTTAGGCAAACACTGTACCACTAAACTATATTTAATTTCTTTTCTCTTTTTTTCTCCTCCTTTTTTTCCTTTTCCCATCTTCTTATACTTTCTTGTCAAATGTCTTTAGAGCACATGCTTTCATTTCTTTTTGATTTATTTTGTCTTTCGAGATAGGGTTTCTGTGTAGCCCTGGCTATCCCGGAACCCGCTTTGTAGTCTAAACTGGCCTCAAACACAGATTTATCTGTCTCTGCCTCTCGAGTGCTGGGATTAAAAGCCTGTGCCACCATGTCCGGCTTATTTCTTTTTATTTTATGTACATTGGTGTTCTTCCTGGACGTATCACTGTGTGACAGTGTAAGATCTCTTGGAACTGGAGCTACAAAGGAGGAGGTCTAAGGCAAACTCTATGTAAGCTGCCATGTGGATGTTGGAAATTGAACCTGGGTCCTCTGGAAGAGGAACCAGTGCTCTTAACCATGGCACCATCTCTCCATCCCTGGAGCACATGCTTTCTATGTTGCAGTTTTCTGACCCTTTTGAGTTTTTGATGAAGCAGTGTCTTCTGGTCTTTGCCACAAAGGACAGGGACCTTCCAGGCTGGAGCCTCTTTACCTGGGTTCCCTCTCCCTCTCCCTCTCCCCCTCCTCCCTCCCTCTCTCTCCTTCCTTCCTTTCTCTCTCTATCTCTTTAGTTCTCTCTCTTTCTTCCTCTCTCATTTCTCTCTCTCTCTCTCTCTCTCTCTCTCTCTCTCTCTCTCTCTTCTCTCTCTCTCTCTCTCTCTCTCTCTCTCTCTCTCTCTCTCTCTCTCTCTCTCTCTTTCTTCTTGGCAGTACTGTTGTTACAAGTTCAGCCTTAACAATAGGCGGTGCTTGGTGGGGGTGTTTCAGAATATCTAGTCTTTGAAATTCCTCCCTCCCCTTTTTTAGACAGGGTCTCATTATTATAAACTATCAAAAACCTGAGGTTAACATTTGTGTAATGCTGTTTCTTTTTAATCACTGAGTCACACCTCTAGCTCTGGGTACAATTCTGTTCACTGAACTATTGTCCTTTTCCCTTCCAGTCTAGTATCTCATATACTGCAATATAATTGTATGCCTCCTTCGTCTTCTGCAATCCATGATAGCCTTGTCTTTACTGACTTTTGACAAGTACAGCTCAGTAGTTCCAGGACAGGCTCCAAAGCTACAGAGAAACCCTGTCTCGAAAAACAAAAGCAAAAACCAAAGAGAGAGAGGAAGAGAGGGGGGGGGTACAGCTCAGTTATTTTGAAGAAAATAATGTCAATATGGGTTGAATGATGGCTTTTCACAATTAGACTAAGGTTATGAGTTTGGGACAAGAATTTCAGAGATGGGGCTAGGGAGATGGCTTAGCACTTAAGAGCACTTACTGCTCTTGAAGAGGACTTGGATTCAGTTTCCAGAACCCACATACTGGCTCACAACCATGTGAACTACTTCTAGGAAATCCATGGTCCTCTTCTTACCTCCACGGGCACCAGACACATGCATGGTGCACCTGTGTACCATTCATATGTATAAAATTACATTAAAGAATTTCAGAGATGATACACCCCTCTGATTATGAATCAGAGTTATGACAATGTTAATATGTTTTATTATTTTTTTCTGAATTTTTTAAAAAAATTGACACCTGGGTCTCATTTAACTCAGGCTGACCTTGAGTTAACTATATATCTGAGGCTTGCCTTGAAATCCTGATTCTCCTGCCTCCACCACCCAAATACTAAGACTATAGGCATGCAACACCAGGTCTGAATCCTGCATTTTTTGGTTGTTAATTAGCTTGTTTTATTTATTTATTTGTTTGTTTATTTATTTATTATTTATTTGCCCAGCATTGCAAACATACATTCTCTAAGTATGTACAATTATATAACAACTGAAACAACAATTAAATAAATCAACCTTACTAAAAAGGTCTTGCTCTGATCTTAGTCTTAGAAATAATCACTTTTTTAAGAAGACAAGTTTTTTCTATGTATCAGGACTGCCCTGAAACTCACTTTGTAGACCAGGCTGGCTTCAAACTCACAGAGATTAGCCTGCCTCTGCCTCCCAAGTGCTGGGATTAAAGACATCTGTCACCATACCTGGCTCATAATCACTTTTTTTTACACAGAAAAATTCAGTATTTTTATTTAAGTTAGTCATTCAGGGTGGTGGTTGAATAAGAATGGCCCCCCATAGGCTCGTATATTTGAATGCTTAGTCGTCAGGGAGTGACACTACTTGAGAGGGACTAGGCAATGTGTCCTTGTTGGATAGGCATGTACTTGTTGGAGGAAGTGTGCCACTGGGGGTGGGCTTTGGGGTTTCAAATGCTTAAGTCACACTCAGTTGCTCTCTCTTCTTGCTGTCTTCCTATCTGGATGCGATACTCTCAGCTATTTCTCCAGCACTGTATCTGCCTGCATGTTGCTATGCTTCCTGCCCTGGTGACCATGGACTAAACTTCTGAAACTATAAGCAAGACCTAATTAAATGCATTCGTTTAGTAGGTGTTGCCACGGTCATGGCGCCTCTTCATAGCAATATAAAACTGATCAAGACATTTAGCAATATTAAAATATGTTTTCAGCAGTACAGAGCAAACATATCAAAGCCTCACTATGGTCAGATAGCCAGAGAAAATAAAATAAAGATGAAGTGTGATCTTAATTAGTCTTATCAATAAAATATTGAGATGATCTAATCTAATGTAAAAGACTGTGTCAGATTAAAATGAAGATTCTTGTAGACCAGGTACATATCATACCTATTGTGAATAATGAAAAATTTGAGACCTTTTTTCTGGTGCATAGGTTATTGGCATTTGAAAGTGTCAGGGTCCAGCCTTGACAGGGTTCACATGTTCCAGGGTAGGGGTGTGAGGATTAGAAATATTAGTCAGGAGGAACAGAGATACCGAAAGAAAAGGAACAGAGCTACAGAATAGAACTCGGAGGGCTGGATTTGTCTGCATTTATTTTCCATACACTTATAGACCCCAGTCCAAAAGGTGGGGGTGAAGAAGGCAAAAGACTGCTTCAACATGATACAAAGAACAAACAGAGGAATTACCTCTTCAATACCTGAAACATCAAGCAACTATATCCCAAATTAAGCATTCTGTTGTTTAGGCAGGACATACACCTTAGACCAAGCATCCTGCGGGTAGGCACTGCTTGGGTCACACTTCCTGTCATATCCTTGAAGGAGCAGGAATAGGCTTGAATTCTTTGACCTGTGGTCAAGGTAGAACAGACCCTTTTTTTTTTTTTTTTTTTTTTTTGGTGTTTCGAGACAGGGTTTCTCTGTGGTTTTGGAGCCTGTCCTGGAACTAGCTCTGTGGGCCTCCACAAAAAAAGCTTAATTCAGCACTAGCTAGATGACTTAATGGGAAAGAGTGTCTGCTGTCAAGCCTGGAGATCTGAGTTCAATCCACAGAACCTATAAAGTGAAAAGATGGGACTGGAAAGATGGCTCAGGGGTTAAGAACATTAACAACTCTTCCAGAGGACCTAAATTCAATTCCCAACAACCACATGGTGACTCAAAGCTATCTAAAATGGGAACTGATGCCCTGTTCTGGCATGTAGGTATGTATATATGCAGATAGAGCACCATATACATAAAATAAAGAAATCTTTAAAAAAAAAGATCAACCTGACTGTCACTAGCTGTCTTCTGACAGCCAGTCAGGCATACAAGTGCTACAGGATGGAATACACACACTCACCCACATACATGCATGCAAACAGGAAACAAATGAATAAAGTAAAAAAAAAACATGAAAAACAACTTTTATCTAGTTATATGTAAAGTGAGAAACAAAGAGAATAAAATTGAAAAATATCCATAAGGTTACAGGTCAAAGGATTTTTCTGACCACAAATCCTCAGTGTGGCTCAACTCTTTAGGTGCTTTCATTGCACCCTGTATTTAATTAGGGTTGCTTGTGAGGACAGGAGTGGTTTACTTGAGCAAGGGCAACTTAAGGTAGCGACACCACTGAGGAATCTAACACCCATTCCCCTACCAACAATTAATTGCCTATAGTTCCCAAGGAAGGATGGGGCCTACTATGCTCCCTCCACATCTATGATGGGTTATTAACATTTTCAGTCTTGTGTGTGTGAGTTCATGAGTACTGTAGTCATGTCATGTCCAAAAAACAATGTTACACCACATCCTCCCCATCCTTCAAGATCTTTCATTCTTCCATGATGTTTCCACAATGATGCTCCGTGTGTGTGTGTGTGTGTGTGTGTGTGTGTGTCCATCCCATTTAGGATTGAATTTTCAACAGTCACTTAATCTCATCACTTTAACTTGCTTGAATCTCTGCATGCACCACTGCCCACTGAGTTCAAGACCAGCCTGGTCTACATAGAAAGTTCCGATTGCATAGAGAAACCCATGTCAACAAATAAATAAACAAAAATAAGCATATATATTTAATAAGTAGTTTGACAACATATCCATTTAGTAAAAACAACAGTGATTGGTTTTCCACCCCTCA